TATTTGAGATATTCAAAAGTGGGTCACAGTGACCTACTTATTGGTCAACATTCTCCGAAAAGCCATGGTGCATCAACTGACAAAGTTTGTCAATTCCAAGCCAATAAGTACCCCATAATACTTTATATATTCATAAATCACACAAGTAGGTCAATCTGTGATACATAAATCTAACCCGATCTCTGAAAACCCAAGATTCATCGAATGAGAATGTTTGATGCTTCTAAGCCAATATGTACCTGAGATACTTAAATATAGCCATAAAATGTTAAAGGTAGGTCACCATGACCTACTTTTGGCAATTTGGTCGTCAATCTACGAAAACCCAAGATGCATCAAGTGACAAAGTTTGATGATTCTAAGCCAATAAGTACCCAAGATACTTAAATCTAGCCATAAAATGTCGAAAGTAGGTCACCGTGACCTACTTTTGGAGGACATTTTCTGAAGACCAAAGATGCATCAATTGACAAAATTTGATGATCATAGGTCTAATAGTATTCAAAATATGTCTTTTAAACAATTTGATAACAAATACCTGCAAAGTTCAAAAGTAGGCCACCGTGACCTACTTTTTAATAAATATGTTTTAAGGCCCCAAAATGCATCAACTTGCAAGATTTGGTGATTTTCAACCTCTAGGATTAAATGTTTTAGAAAAGATTAGCCATAATATTCAAAAAGTAGGTCACGATGACCAATTTTTAAGTTGATGTTGTTTAAGAACCCAAGATGCATCAACTGACAAAGTTTTATTATCATAGGCCTTAAAGTGTCCAAAATATGCCTCCAAATTAATTAAGCTTACAAGATTTGATGATCCTAGTCTTTATAGTAAGCAAAATATCACCATTTTTATTAAGTGTAAATTTTGGTCAACTTTGAAGTGACCTTGAGACCATGCCCTCTGCCCCAGGGTCATGCTTCAAACAATTTTTAATTTTCAACATTTCCCAACCCTTGTTTGTAAGTGAAAATCTGCCTGGTGGTTCTGGAGAAGAAGATTTTTTAGCAACCAGTACTTTTGATTTTATTTTCCTGGTTGTTTTAAAGTCTTACCACTAGGTTTAGTATGAACGGTAACCCTTGGGCCAAGGATACCCTGTGACAAATTTGACAATGATTGGCCAAGGGTTTCTTGAGTTATGGCCCATATTCTAGAAGGTTAAAACACACCGCACGACGCATACCGCACAAATGGCCATAGCATTAGCTCTTTGAGCCTTTTGCTCAGAAGAGCCAAAAATAGAAATAGGCACCCCCTCAAATATTGTCCACACTAGCTACTTGTGGCCAGCTACTGTCATTAACATCTCAAATTTAACAATATACTTCCTAATTATGCAGTTATGACATCTACAAAGTGCCTGAAAAAGTGCAATAATCTACATTTTATCGATTATTCCAGGAATCTATTTTTAGACCATTGTTGAGAAACAAAAGTCCATGCTCAATATTGTAGCAATTATTGTACAAACATTTGCTCATTTTGAAGGCATATTGTAAGAAAGCTTTATATTTGTTTAGACGTTTTCTATAAAGCTTCCAATCAGCATAAAATTGCCATTTTTCGTAATATTCAGAGACATATCCATATTCAGGCACTTGATACTAAAAATAAAATTATACCCCCCCCCCTCAATTATTGCCCACACTAGCTAGTTGTGGCCAGCTACTGTCATTAACATCTCAAATTTTACAAAACATTTCCTAGTTATGCAGCAATTACATCTAAAAAGTGCCCGAAAAGGTGCAATGATTTACATTTTCTCAATTATTCGAGTAATCTATTTTTAGACCATTGTTGCTATAAAATGAAACAAGAGTCCATCCTCAATATTGTGGCAATTATTGTACAAACACATGAACATTTTGAAAACATATTGTAGAAACCTTTATATTTGTTAAGACTTTTTATATGAAGTTTCCAATTTGCATGAAATTGCCATTCTTCCTAATATTCAGAGACATATCTATATTTAGCCACTTGATACTAAAAATAGAAATGGGAATTCCCCTTAACCATAATGATTATCCATACCAGCTAGTAGTGTCCCACTCTTGTCATTGACATATCAAATTTTACAAATTATTTCCTAACTATGCAGCAATTACATCTAAAAAGTGCCCGAAAAGGTGCAAAAATCTACATTTTCTCAATTATTCGAGTAAACTATATTTAGACCATTGTTGCTATTAAATGAAACAAGAGTCCATCCTTAATATTGTGGCAATTATTGTGCAAACACATGTACATTTTTAAAGGATATTGTGGACAGCTTTATATTTGTTAAGACTTTTTATATGAAGCTTCCAATTACAAAAAAATGCCATTTTTCCTAATATTCAGAGACATATCTATATTTAGCCACTTGATACTAAAAATAGAAATGGGAATTTCCCTCAACCATTATCCTTACCAGCTAGAGGTGTCCAGCTCTTGTCATTAAAATCTCAAATTTTACAATATACTTCCTAAATATGCAGCAATGACATTTAAAACTTTGCCAAAATTAGATTTTTCACATTTTTCTAAAATATATCTATTTATAGATACGTGTTACTAAAAATAGGATCAAAGCCCACTGATATTTTTTCCTGAGATGACACTACTTATTCCCAAGTATATTAACACACATAAGATTTGGAAAATTTCCGCTGACAATTTTTCTTATTAAGTTTTAAGTTCTTAAAAAATGCCAATTTCCCCATTTTTCAATTTTTTAGAAACCATGTCAGTTTGCATGACCCTTTTCTTCCAGGTGGAATATTTCTAGAATAAACTATTATATGCCCAGTGTACCTTAAAAGTTCATGTTATCATATGATCCAAAGATTTTTGTTAGAGTGTATCAGCTATCGATAAATATTCATTTACATTTCCTCAATTTTCATGTTTTCATTTAGTCAAAAAGGGCCAAAAATGGCCGAAATCAATAGATCCGTCTCCATGGCAACTAAGTGCACGTGTGGAAATTCCGACACCATATTTACTAGTTTTGTACTAAGACACACCTATGGTGAAAATTTCAATAAAATCCGAGACATGTCATTTCGATTTTTTGGTGTTTACGCATTTTTTAAAACAAACAATTTAAAGAAATTAAACGTCGTTTTTAAAGAAAATATTGATTGAATCCAGGTTAAAAGATTACACCATTAATTTGAAATTGTCAACCACGATTGTGACGACTTATATAAGCAGGTCAATGGCAAATCACTAAAAAAATGCAAAACATACAACCATTTTGCATTGTATAGGTGGGCCGACTCATATGCGAGTATATACCATAGTTAACGATGCTGTACAATTCTAAACAAGTAAATTTTTAAAATAAAAATTGAGTGATTCTACCAAATCGTCTAACTTTTTATCTGCTTAAATATTTGCTAGTACTTTTCCGTACTTAGTAAAAAGAAAATTAATAATCAATTTCCGTTTTTCATTGTAGAAATATAAATATATCATAAAAAAGCACGACATAAAACCCTTGGAATTAAAAATCATGAATATTGTCCGTTCCCCAGTTATTTGACTCTGTTATTTCAGGTCGAGTTAAAACATTTCCCTTGTTTTGGTCAGCTTTTTTTGGCATCGATGAAATTAAGTAAACATTTTGTGTACAGCTTACATAACAACAAATGAAGCATCCAATAAGTCATTCCTATAAACGATAATTCATAAATGGACACTTTTTTGGTCATTTTATTTACACTTTAGTCACCTGTCCTTCATATATGACATCGTACAAATTAAATGTTAATAATATTTTTTATGACAATTTAAACATTATTTTTTTATGATTCCATTAAGACTTAGTGTATGTGTACTTAACATATTAATCTTTATTTTGAGAATATCAAGTACCTACATATTTATCTATTAAATGATTTTTTATATATATGTACAACTTGAAGTATAAGTTGAAATGGCATATCTTTTGTCAAACATGAGGTCAATGTACTTAGGATTGAGAGGTCGATATGTTTTATTTTGTGAAGAAGATGCATCTCGTATTTACCGGGTATGTTAAAACCTTACTTGCAGACCAAGGCAACATAGCAGCTTTGTTTTTTTTTATTATTATTAAAAATTCATAACAGAAGACATGTTAAGTGTAAAAAAAAAAGTCGTTTATTTAAATGACGAAAAATGCGATCCATAAAAAAACAATTACAAAACAATTTGGCTAGAAGACATATACCAAAATCACGAAAAGCTTGATTTAAATGCAGTTCAATAAATGATTACAAAACAGTGATCTTCCAACCACAATATCAATGTGATTATGCGGTAAAATACAACATCAGACTTTATTGGAAACAAAAGTTACATCTCTTTTTTGACCGAATAAAAGTGCTACATTTGTTCATTATAATTTTTTACAGAAGAGATATAAACTATATGGTGGAAACAAGCTTTTTTCAAGTTGTCATTTTTAACACATCATAACAAAAATTCATAATAAAATGAAGCTGTTTCATGTAACTTTGCTTTTTCTTACAGACTCTGACAAAACGAAACTTGAAAATATTGGGAACAAGCTTTATTTTTTTCTATTGTTATTTTTAACACATACAGATCAAAAATCAAAAACGGATTAAGCTTTTTAATACAATTTTACTTTTATATTGATTGGGTTATGTAAGGGATTTTCTAATTTAAAAGGTTATATTTGTTTAGTAATGTTTTTCTTTTGATTTATGATAAAACATATCTAATATGTCTTAATTTAGATTAAACCCTCGCATGTATGCATGGTAAAGTCAATTCAATTTATCACAGAACATCTCATCATGAAACATAGTTTCACTGTTAATTTTTCAAGAGACATCAAATCACATTTGCCGAATGCATTGTGAAGTAAAACTTTTGTTGTTTTACAGAAGATTATTTCCATTAGAAACACATTTTTGGCAAATAAGTGTGTAAACCTTGTATGCTTAGTATAACATGTACATGTAGGAATGACCACTCTTATAGAAAACTTGTTTTATAGACAAAGTTTTGAGAGAGACTTGTCTGCTGAGTCTCTGTTGATTGTACAGTGTGACAGTGGAAATGAGAATGCCAGCCTTGTGGCCTGTGCCCAGTATTCTGTGTTAGATCAACTACAACAGCTGGAAGATGAGAAGACAGGGAAGACACACATTGTCTTCATCATCCATCTCCCCAGGGTGGCAGGGGGAGGATTCACAGGATTTCAGGTACAAATTTAAATCCTTATTATGTTACAGGAAAAGTGAAGAGGGGAGAAATAAAAATGTATGACTGTTCAACACATTGTAAGTGTTTTGCTTTGAAGAGTTGTATTTTTAAATATGTTGCATAATAAACACAATCCAAATTGATAAAGATAATCAAAACTTATTTCATTTTTAAACACTTCTTTCAATTATGAAGCCCAACCTAAGCCCGACCTAAGTGTCAATAACTGTAATTCTATAACGAGAGTTTTCTGAGAAATTTACACGCATAAGGTCAGATGATACGTTCCTCAGATATCTGTTTTGTATATCTTTATAATTATAAAACACTAAAATTAAAATAACCTTATGATTTCTAAACTGATTTCTAATTGATTTTAAAAATTTAGAACGCTAAAAGGTTTGATTTTTGGCAATTAAATCCATTCCAAAAGAATTAGATAGGCAATAACATCCTCTTATATCTTGCGCAAATGCCTGGTAAGGTGCCTCAATTTTTTGCGAAAAAAGTAAAAAAAGTAAAAAAAAACTTCGACGATAAAATCTTGAAAAAAATATTATTTAGAAACGTATCGTCTGTTCTTAAGTGCAGGAATGCTCCTCCTCTTCAGTGATATTTCTTGATGTCTAATGCATGTAATTATTATAAAAAGATTGACCAGTGGGTCTTTTTAATTCATTTTTTTACTTAGTGTGGTCTGTGGCACTCTGTCCACATCGACGACCTTCGACCAGATGATGATAAAATGCCCAGTTTTCTGGAACTGAGAAATAAGAGTGTGGGGACTCTACTAGAAAGTGCTGCTGGCCCCTCTAAATCCAGAGACACAAAAGAAATGGACTGGGAGGGGAGGTCAGACCATGATAAACAGGAAACTGAGGACATAGAAATGGAGTATCAGGATGTTTATCTACATGACTTTGGCAGCATGATGGAGCGAACCGAACAAGTCCATGTGGAGAAGAAGGTGGATTTTCCGTTTTTCATAAAACTTACAGCACTTCCAGCCCTAGCTATGGTGAAAGATCCTGCTGAGGACTCAGCCAGAACAACAGAGAGAGTGAAGATTCTGTTAGCGCTTCTTCATCAAGAAACAAAAGGTAAGACTGAATCAGATTTTTGTCTGTGTGAAGTATTCAATGTCTGTTTGCAGTAGGTGCTGACACCTAAAAAAAAGATCCCTCACTGCTCAATGGCCATTAGTGCAGAGTATAGGACAAAATTTGCAACTCTCCACTGGCAAGTGGTGGCGTCTCCATAAAAATGAAAAATTCTTGAGAGGGATGTTAAACAATATACATCAATCAATGTTTTTATTAGATATTCAGTGATGTATGAAAATGTATGTTAAATCCTGTTTTAAAGAGAAAGTGACATTCATGAAAGGAGTAGGACGCCACCTAGCGGCCCTGATGAAGGAGAAAGAGGAGAACATCGGACAGTCTGCTGAGAGTTGGTTGTATTCAGAGGCCACCAACATGGACTGTATCAACAGAGTGGGGGCATTCAGGTTAAAAAAAAGATTAAAATAAATCTTGTAGAAATTGAACAAATTGAGAAAAAAAAGATTTGGAACAGATATTTCTCACTATAGGTATACAGATAGAAAAGCACTACTAGCATTACTCGCTTGATAGTACTGAAAAACTTAATCAGTATTTATATGTTTACGTTCACCTGTAGCTAAGAACTTAATAATGATAACTGTATACATATATGCATTTGCAGAAAAGCTCGAAACGAGTGTATCATTGAGAAATTGTCCCCCATGTTGGCTGGCATCATTGCGCAAGTGGACACCAACAGTAACCTTGACCTTTTGATTAAGACTGACCCAGATACCTGGCAGCACAAACTTTGGCTTGAGATCATCAATGAACCCTCAGCCACACATATAGAGTATTCCGTCATTATGTCCCCCAAAAGACAACAGGAACTTCCAGAGATGATAGTGAGGGGGACGGGGTGTGATGGACAGAAATTTTCAGCTCAAGTGCCTTTCTCCTGGCTAATATACAAAATGATTTATAGAACAATTTGGATGGCACAAGATGTTGAAAAACATGGTTAGTTACAGCTGTATGGTTTTAGATACGATTGTCACAGAGTGTCTTCTTGACTGAAGTGTGTGTTTTAGTTAATTTATAAAATTAATTGAATCATGAACAGTTGCCTGGGCAAACGTTCTATTGAGTGAAGTTATTTTAATTCACAATTTATTACTGAATATAAATACATGTAATTCCACAAATAACTTTATTGAGATCTACAAAGAAAGAAATTGTTTTGCAGAAACAATTCAAGACTTGGTCAAAAGGGTAACAGATGTGATTGAAAATACACCTATTGGAAAAGTACTTCAAAAGTGTCTATGTAAAGTCGGGGTGCTTGAATTTGTCAAGCCATATCTCAGTGATTTTGTTTATATGGTTTATCATGTGACCAGTGTTGAGGAACATGGGGTAATTAAGTCTCAAAAGTTTGAAATTTGAAGATATTAAAAAAATGCAAAGGCGATCAAAAATTTTAGTAATGTTCTATTGCTTAGTATATTCACTACATGTTTATATCTTTTTTATGTTCATTTTAGCTGGTGTGTGAAAATTTACTGAATGGAATGAATATGGACTTCAAAGAAGGACTGCAGAGTGTTGTAATGAACTTTGTAGCAATCCATGCTGTATACAATAGATATGTGCCAAGACTTAGGAATTTTGCCAGTATTACTCAAGTGTGGCCTGAGTGTAGTGCCAAAATCATTGAGTTCCAGCAGAAAAGTCCTCAATTCTACCTTGTCACGACTGAAGAACTGGTAATGATGCAATTGCTTTTGTAATGAAATTTCTAACCACCTGTCCTTAGCTTGTTGAAAATATTTGCAATTTTAGTCTAAGTTGACCATTGCCATAACTTCAATTGGTAAAAACAATGTAATTTGAGTCAACATCTTTTAGGCATCTAGGTTCAAAGTCTAAAATGTTTATAAAATATTTTTGGCAAAATGATAACACTGTATTTAAATAAATGTTGATTTACCATATCATGTCTATCATGTTTTGCATGCATGGTTTTATCATTTAACTCAGAATTTAATTCTTTACTTTTCAGACCCTGGATATACTTGGCCTCTACCTGTTGTTACAATCCTTGGAGCCTGGTAAGGACTCACTTAATGACAACAGGGGCAGACAATACTGGCAGAGACAGGTGCTCAGGTACCGACCTGTGGTGGAGAGGATTCTGGGACAGTTTGTAGAGGATGAGGATCCGTCAGGAGTGGAGCAGTTTGGGAGAAGGTGTAGGGAGGGTAGTAAAGAGGCCAGGTAATAACTTAGGAGAAGTATAGTACATAATTAAATAAGTGGAGAAGGTTGAAGCTGTGGAGGCAATAAAGCTGTGTTAAAGATTTTATTTTTATAAAGAAAAAATTTGAGTTTTCTAAGAAATATGTGCTTAATGGACTGGACTGTACATGCATAGTTGTTGTTTATGAAATGTTATATAATTGAAATCACAAATTATTACAGAAAAACATTGTTGCCTGAAAGTTTTATTAAGTATTTGTATTTGCTCTTACGTCTGTTAAATGGATCATTAAGTTCTAATCCTTCCTCAGATGCCAGTGGACTAAGGTTGTAGTTATGAAGCTGTTTCTTCAGCATGTCTGTGCAGAGGACACAGCAATACCAGTGGAGCGATGCAAGACGTTATGGGTGGTAAGTGTTTTACATACATGTTCATGTTTGGTACACATCTTTCTTCATGTCTGGTATTATAATCGTAATGCAAACAAGACATTGAAGTTAGAATTCAAACAATTTCTATTTACAGATGCTCAAAGATAATGTGAACTTCAAGAACATTGAAGCTTTGGAGAAGATGGAGAAATTCCTGAAAATGTGTATGAAAAAAGCAGTCACCACAGCGTTTGGGTAAAACAGGAATTTATTTATATTCACTGATTTAAATGTTAACATACCTGTTTGCTCTCTTTTAATTTAGAAAGTAAATAATAACTGAATTTGAAGTTCATACTTAGTGAAAAATAATGCTTTAAGAGAAGAAGATTACATTTTAACCTTTTCTTCATCTAAAAATCCAAATAGCTTAGAAAATAGTTTTTCTTTGAGTAAGAAAGAATAATATGTTGTAAATCAGATTTACTTGCAAAGGGATGTTTTTTTTAAATGATGTACTAAGTTTTGTTTTTGAATCAAAGTCGGTGGAGAAGCTACTAGTAACACTTTACAGCGTCAGAATTGCTTTTTCAGAGAGTGCCCTTTTTGTGTATACTGAACTCTTTTTTGGGTTAACTTACATTGCAGAAGGTTGGGTAGTTGTAAAGCCTGTACTTGTGAGATCACAGAGAGACCTATACAACTCCCCTGTAAGGATGTCATCTGTATCAAGTGTTACAACGACACGAAGATTCTGAGATCTACTGAATGTCCTGTCTGCCATGATGCGATTCCTAATCACTTCAATCCCCATCAAGTCTACACCAAAAAGTATGAACTTTTGTTTTAATTTTATGTAGTTCATTGGGATAATTGTCATGGATGTGAAAGTATATATTTATTACAAGAACATGTTCTATTAGACAGATGGAAATTGAAGACTTATACTTTTTTTGGTTTCAAGTCTCTTACACATATATTTAGATTGCCACACAAACTTTTGAATTGTGATCTTACTAATACAGAATTTCAGTGACAATGCCTTAAAACATTTTGAACTGATTTAAGTTAAGATTTCTCTAAAATTTCTCATCAATTTTATTTCAGCCTGAAGATGTACCAACTGAGGGTCTTCCAAAGACACTGTAACAGTTTCTTTATGGACCTGGTGTCCCAGCTGTGTTTTACCGATGAGGAGCCACCGTCCAGTCAGGTGATTCAGAAGCTAATGTCGTACATGTTCATCACCACCAGAGCTAGACGGGGCCAGGGAGGAAGAATGGCCACCAAGGAGTTGTCAGTGTTTGAGGAAGGCATTGATCCTACACCAGTCCTACGATCCTTCCTCCTACAGTATCTTATCAGGACCAGGTGAGATTATTGTTTATACTCTTTTAATTTGAGGCCAGATTCTGAACTGTATCAAATTTCCCTTTCCAATTTCATGCAGCCATGTTATCCAGCCATTACAAAAACAAAATAAAATTCTGCTGAATCTGAATATTTAAGGTGATTCCACCCTCACAATTTTATAGGTTCAAAGTACAAAAAACTGCATTTATTTTCATTAAATATACTTTAAACTTTCCAATTATTACAAAATATGTATAGGTCACCATATTATTTAAGATGCGAAACATTAATAAACAGAAGTGTATGTCAACATCAAAAAATCGCAAATTTTTTTATAAACAGTACTATTATGAAAAATATGTAAAAACTGGTTAAAATGCATAATTCTGATGCTGAGTGTTCCTAAATACTTCCTACTTAAAAGATACTTTTGAATTGTGAATATCAGGGAAACTATTTTACAATAAAGCAAATGCTAAAATGAAGAGACCTTAGAAGGAGTTATTGCCCTAGTCAACATCTTTTAAAGATTGAATAATTGATTAAATATAGAAAATATGCATTTTTAAAATTCTTTAACTTAACAATATTTATTATTACACCTATTGTAAAGCAGCCTCGTGGAGATCCGGGTTAGAATAGGTCCTCAGTACCCCTTGCTTGTCGTAAAAGGCGACTAAATGGGGCGGTCCTTTGGATGATACCGTATAAACCAAGGCCCCGTGTCACAGCAGGTGTGGCACGATAAAGATCCCTCCCTGCTCAAAGGCCGTTAGTGCCGAGCATAGGCCTAAATTTGCAGCCCTTCACCGGCAATGGTGACGTCTCCATATCAGTGAAATATTCTGGAGAGGGACGTTAAACAGTATACAATCAATCAATCTTCCAAGAGATATTGTTCTAATAGGTATGAATTAAAACTAATTACAGTTTTTGCAAAAACCTATGACATCATAGGAGGGTGGAACTACCTTAAGTTTCAAAAATGTCATAATAAAAATTTTGCCTTGTTCTTCTTTTTCAGCTCTGGAGAAGAATGTGGGTGTCTACAGATTTACTTGGAGCAAGTGGAGGAGCTGATGTCCCTCAACGAAAATAAAGACAAAATGATAGAACTCTCACTGTTGGTTATTAATTGCCTAGAGGTAAATATGATTAAGAAAATCTCTCTTCCTCTCTCTCTCTCTTTCTTTCTCTCCCTCTCTGTTAGTGTGGACACATATTTTTCAGCCCGCCCTTTCATAGTCAGCTAGTGGCTTGAATACCAGTACATAAAGAATAAACTATTTTTTTTCAAAAGGACTCCCTGCACCAAGAGGTTACCAAAAGTGTTGACCCAGAAAAATCTAAAATCAAGATGGCGACTCAGATGCTTCAGCACAATGTCCATCTGGTGATGAAGGAGGGGTTGGATGTACAGAAGCTGTACTGTATGGCTGAGACCAGGTTTGGACTGATTGTTGTGGCCGAGATCCTCCACAAGTTACTGGTGGAGAAGTCTATAAAGATGGGACAGAGTGTCAGAAGACTTCTAGAAGCTGCTGGTAGGCTGTGTGACGAATGCGGCTCAAAGCAGCCAAAGTAAGATTTTATCTAAAGATTATGATACTGTATAAGTACAATTTTCCGTATGGTATTAAATTACGCTCTGTACACGGTTACAAATTTTCCACGGAAATCTGTCCAACCGTACTTTAATTTATATAATGTAAGGCATTTTGTGACAATCTGGAAAATCTGCGTAAATTTCTACCCGCTTATTGAACAGAAATTGAGATTCCGCAGAATTATATATGACCCTGTGGAAAAAAGTACGTCTACAGTAATCTAATTTGAAATGTTTGTTTGTCCTCTCCTTGGTGAGGTTTTAAAAACGTAGATCAGAGGTGAGTGGGAAAAAATTTTCCTTAGAAAATTTCAACAAACTTGTTGATGAGGTTGGAGAATTCAGGAATAAAAAGGGAAAAAAGTGAATCCTGGAGGGAAAAAAAATTCAATCAGCCCATATTAATTCCATTGTTAGGTAGAGGGTAAATAAACCATTTTTAAAGATGGCATATAGTAATATTACTCTGTGTTTATAGGCAAATGTCTTCAAAAACTTTATTTTAATATCTTTACTGCCCTTTTAGGCTGTTCCTGATCAAACACCTCTGCCGATGCTTTGGGTTGGAGACCTATCAGAAAGTCTGCAAGACGAGTGATGCTGCCACAGTCCGCTGGTTGAGTGTACCAGAACTCCAGAAAAATGAGGTATCTCATTATTAACAGCATGACTACAGTATTCCATCAAAGCAGAGATTAAAATGATTTTAACATTTAACATCATTGATATAATCAAATGGAAATTTTCTACAATTGGTTAGAGAACAGGAGTTATAAAAGAATTAAGTCATAGATTATTATTATACTTGACTGTTCTACATGGAATAAATCTAACACAGATTGCAGAGTGCAGTGACAGGTTTATTGTATGTGGAGAACAGTACAAAACTCTGAGAGAGAAGTTAACCCAAGCAACCTTGGGACAGAATATGGATCTACTCAACACTGCTTTAGAGGTAGATTTTATTCACTGAAAATGCAAAGAAAGGTGTTAAACATGATTGTACCTAAATGTTAAATAGATTGAGAATTAATCTTTTCATAATATGATGTGCAGTAAAAATTATACAATAATATCATATAAGCTGATAATTGTTTAATCAAATAATCTGGTTAATGTGATAATTTATCATCAGTTTAACAGGAAATGGCATTTCATTGGTGTTTATTTCAAGAATTAATTTAGTACAAGCTTTAGACTTGGGGAAAATGTGTCATACTTTCTGTGGAGTACTGTAGATTCCTAGTTATACGCGAGGAATTAATCATCGCTTTATTTCGCGAGAAGCAACACTAGCGAAATAAAATTACTCGCTTTTATTTTTATGGTGCTGAAATTGATGTTAATCCTATTGATCAAGCGTCCATTCGCGAATTATTATTTTCGCGATTTGACGTTAGAGAGCCGTCTCAAGATAATAAGTACTCGCGAAAAAAAAATAATCTACAGTATATAGTATCTGAATATTTGTACTGTTTTTCAGAGTGTCAGGGTACCTGATTTCCAGAAAAGAACACTAGCTCTCTTAGCTATATTTAGGGAAATAACCATGTCGTATTTATACCCAGAAAACAAGAGGAGAGTTACTGCTGCTGTAAGTTCTTATCGAGTACTTATTGAGTGATTCTATTCCAATGCTTATCTAAGCTGAAATTTCTAAATATCTTGAAATTATTTTTGTTCAAAAAATAAAATTCAGCTGTTTCCAAATATTTTATGATATCAGAAAAATTAAACTGAAGTGACTTAAGCATGGTTTTAAATTTAATTAACATTTCTTTCACTCAGGCTGTTGAACTATTACATCAGTTTAGGGCACAACATCCTTTGTTTGTAAATCAGGTAAGTAAATAATGGAGCAATATAATCACAGGAAGATGAATAGGAATTAACGAAATTTCAATAAAATTAGATAAATGATTTTCAATAATGACAGATTTCTGCTTTTTCTAAGCCAAAGTGTTCAGGTGAGTGATGTGACCCATGGGCCTCCTGTTTTATGTAATTATCCATTCTTATTTATTTTAAAGAACAATCTTCCTATGGCCCTGTGTAGGAATGCCCTGTGGAGGAGGAACCCTCAGCTGACTGTACAGGAGGGGATGGACCTGGGACATCAGAGTAAGGTGTGTCTGTTGAACCACTTCTTTATCACACTGTTACAGATCCCAGAGAAGAGGACACTCATAGAACCCCTCAACAAACTGGTGCAACAGCCACAGGACATGCAGGTGGGTAGTGACGGTACAGCTTTAAAGCTAAAGAAGAATTTCTGTATGAAAAGATGATAATATTTTATAATAGAATATAGTTTTTAAAAGCTTTATATTTTCTTTGTGATGGTGTGTGTATTGCATACAAATCTTTACAGCCAAACATGGAGTTTCTACAAATTGACAAATGTTTCAGATGATAGCTAGAATCCAATTTTAATGTACAGTTGTACCTCATTTATCTGAACCCTTGTGTTTTAGAGCAAAATGTCTAATTTAAAGTGAAACAGAAACATGCTTAGTTTATTATGTAAATATCAAGTTTTCTCATAAATGTTATCTGGAAGGTTACGTGTCTGGATTATTGAGGCCTTGATTAAAGATGCTATATTGTAACTTGGAATTTTAATAAATATTAGAGTTTTGATAGCAAAATAAAAGCGTCTCATTTTGTGATTGTTTTCTAAGGGTGCTTTCCTTCCCACAATGCCACAAGATAATGTTGCAGAGATGAGAGAGGCTTTATTGGCTGCCAGAGGAGTGAACGATGCAAATCCAGTATTCTATCGTAAGTTGCTAAAAACAGCAAGAAGTAATTTTAGCAATTTAATTATGTCTAGAAAGATAATGATAATCTACAAGTGTGCAATGAATTGTTAGCAATTCTCAGTTTTAGCAATTTCAATACCTTGCTTTAAAACTGAATCCTCGTGCACTAAATTTTTGGCTAAAGGGTACATGTAACTAATTTAACCCACATTCATTTTCATCAAATTGTGAGAATAAAAAAATTGATGATATATTTGATTATTCATTATCAAGGAATTCATTTATATACATTGAAATATATTTTTAAGGTTGCCCAAATGGTCATCCCTATGTGATTGGTAATGTAAGTATTTCATTTTCTAATGTTTTGGATCAAATCTCACTGTTGAAATTTGAAATATCTAATATGGAGTGTAAAATATTTTCATGTTTAACATTAATTTAATAACTTTAAATTTGATAAAAGCATGCAGCATAATGAGTAATTTTATTTTGTATACAGTGTGGCAGACCAGCCATTGTTGGCAGGTGTAAAGACTGTGGTCAAGAAATTGGAGGTCAAGGTCACCAATTAATAGCTGGCAACATCCTTGACCAAGGGTGTGTTGGAAAACGCTGTTTATTATTTCCTTCCTTTATGCAGATTTCTACAATTTATATAGAAAAATGTGGAAAATAATATTATTTTTATAGACTTTTCAGAACCTTTCATTTCCATATTACACAGCTTATCCTATATCATTATTTGATATTGACAGGTTAGATCAGACAGCCACAGGTCACATTCTGGGTCGAGCAGACGGGAGACAACCTGTAGCCAGCCCTGAGAGGAGTCTGTCACCCATTGAGTGTGCTATAGTCAGACTCTTCGCCCACATGGCAATGTACTTAGGAGCCAGTATTAACCTTCAGGTCAGATTTAGTGTTTTAATAAACTGTCAGAGGTCAAGGGGAAAAAAAACTGTTTGTCAGATGCACAAAACATGTATATTTATCATGTACTTCTAGGAACTGCTTAGGTACTGGAGTACTATGTAATTTATAAGCTGACTGCCAATATTTATTTTTCTCTATTGATAAAGGCTATACAAAGCATAATAAAACCTGACCTAGATCCCGCCACAGTCCTGCCATTCCTGTGGGCTCACATAGAGAAAGATTTCCTGACCATCCAGAAAGCCATAGGGAAAAGTGTGGACGATGTCTATATCCTGATACATAGAATCTGTAATGACATCATGGAGAAACACAGAGGTAGGTCAAAGAGGGTAGACTTTTTAGTTTTATTTCTAGGTGTTTTACTTATTTTGAGAAAGTGAAGAAAAGTGAAAACAAAGTAATTTGAAAAATAAAGGGAATGCTAAAATTAATTTCTGAATCAATTCTTATATCTGTAATTCATTATAATTATTGAGTTCATATTTCATAATTTTCTTGTACTATTTAATTTATAAATGTTACATGTAGCTCATAATATGCACAAATTCCTTTTTCTATGACTCTTAGCAGTTTTTTATTGTACTGTAAATGGATTAAATTTATTCCTGTCTGCCATATTTCTCTTCATTTGATTGTATTTCTTGAGTGCTTGAAATAAGCCTCTGATCTCTTCAAGATTCAAAGTACATGTATTTCACTGTACATGATGTACATTAAGCATCACCATTGTTAGTCTTGGTCATGGCCATGCATTGCTACTCTGTGGGGATAAAAATCAATTTATGCATATGTAATATGTTTTACGGTGTGACCGTTGTGGCGAGCGCAGTTGTACCATCAAAAAACACTTAAAATCTTGAAAAATTGATCAGCCACTTCAAAAATCAAGCCTCACGAGACATCTCGCCTAGCTGTGACGTCACACGTTACGGAGACAGCTGAGCGTTTGGTTGCATCTATAGACCTAGTGCAATTTTTGTCGAAAAACATTGGAGAGTTCTTTTTTGTTTCTTTGAAAGATTTCTACAAGCTAAAAGCCTTTTATTTCTTCCGTTATTATGTATTTATTTATTTGTGCAAAGGACATTGGGTAGTGCAGGAATTCTGGGAATGTTTCACAGGGAATTTTGCTTGACGTATGTACAGATTTCAATCCGAATATTTCCTCTGTTCATACACGTTAGTCTATTGAGCTCGTTGCGCTCGCTAATATACCTTGTGGGAAGGGGGTTAACGAATGTGAAGGGTATACATGTACATGTATGTTAGTGTTTTGTGCTAATATCAGAGATAGGAAAACTACCTGGTAATACTAGGTGTGGCTATTTCTATTGTGCTCTAAGCTTTATCTTATTTTTTTTTGTATATTTGTTAGGTACTCCAGTAAATCAGGAAATATGCTTCTTGGCAAATAAAAGTAGTAGAAAGAAATGGGAAGAGGACTTTACCCAAACTTATCTATCCCCAGTTCTTCAAGTAATTGCATAAAGTTGATAGAATTTTTCTGACGTGAAAAGTGTTCAACTTGTTCAAAAATGATTACTTTTTAGTGCTTTATATTGTTTGGATCAGTATATTGTGAGATTATAGAAGTCCATCATGTTTGTAGTACTAAATACTTTCTCTGCTTTTTCAGGAAATGAACAGCTTTTTGAAATCTTTGAATAAACAACTTGCTAATGATCAGAGACTTGGTAAGTCACACAGAAGAGTGCAATACGTGTACTTCTTTTGACTTGAAACTATACTGCAGACTTAAACTTTTTGAATGCGGCATAAAATTTCTCCTTTATTTCAGTGCATTGTATCATAAATTAAGAAGATCTTTCTTTCTTGTTTGACAGGTTCTGACCCTTTGCTGTGCCTGATAGACATTCCCTCTGAGCATTCCTCACCGAGCACTCTTCACAACGTTCCAGCCGTGTGGCGCTACCGCTCTCAGATAACCATGGACCACCTACTGCACACCTTACAAGTACAGGGCAGGGCTCATCAAGTACTCACCATGTTCTTACAAGAGGTAAACTGTAGTGACTATTAGTCTTTAAAAAAAAAACTACCTTTGTGCCTTCAATTTGTTTTTGAGTATTGTCGAAATGAAAATGCTAAATGAACTGTTGTCATTTTTTGTTCTTTAATTCAGAGATACTTTAACAGTAATGTATTTTGATATGATTTGCTTATTTCACCTCTCTCTGCTTGTTTAGGAGCATCATCTAAGAGCTATCCGCCTGGTACCAAACATCCTAAAGCTTCAGAGGATGTTGATACAGCGATATCAAAGAAAGCTGGACAGAATTGAGGCTTCTAGAATTTCGATTGAAGATATGATAGAGTCATATGAAAATGGTAAATTAATTCTCTCTGTTTTTATATACAAAATTTAATGTACTCTGGCATTAAAATGAAGTCTACAAATTAAAAGTATTGTTACAGTAAAAAAATATATATGTAGCCTGACATCTTCAAGAACACAGCTAGTACTTCTCAAAAAGTCTAAGGAACTCGGTATAACAAAAATCATAGTAATCTTTCTTAAAATTTGAGAAGTGATGCCCTTATTTGGTATAAGCTAGATTAATAAAAGTGGATTATGGTGATGTAGAATAAAAATATTGAAATAATTTGAAATTAATTTTAGTAACAAAAAAGCCTATTAATTATTCATAATTAGAATCATGAAACATTAACTCTTTTAGAGGGCAGAGCAGAAGAGATCAAGAGATTAGTAAGGGACTTCATAGAGGCATGGCAGTGTGTACGGGAACAAATTCTGACATTTGGTAAGTAACCAAATGAATGTTATTTTAATCCAATCTATATTCTTAGTGTAAAGTTACTACCAGAAGTAGAAAAAATTAATTAAAAGTATGAATCTTTACAGCTTTTCCCACCCTGGAAGGATTGGCAAGGGTACCCAAGGAGTATTGTCATAAGTCAATAAATGAGAGTCACCCCATTTCTGTATTGTTACCCACCTTCAGGGATGCCGGACTCTGCTCCTATGGCCTCCTGTACTTTTTACTGAAGAAACAAAATAACTTTCTACAGGAGTACTGCAAGAAGAAAAAAATGCAGTAAGTATATAACTTTGCCATATTTTTTAAAAACTGTCAAATTTATTGATTTGATTGCTCAGTTGGTTTCAGTGTTTTTAGCTCTACTGGTCAGAGACCAGAAGAGCTTATGCGATAGTAATGCGTCTGTCGTCCGTCCGTCTGTCTAGCTGTCTGTCTGTCTATCGGTTTTTGATTTCGATGAACAGTGTTGCCGTGGTTACTAAAAATAGAAATTTCTGTGAAATTCTTTCAAAATGCTACTCCTTCTACAGATTTAGTCTGATTTCAATATAACTTGGCACACAAATAGACTACAATAAGATACACGATTCTGTGTGTATCGGTTTTTGATTTCGATGAACGGTGTTGCCATGGTTACTTAAAATAGAAATTTCTGTGAAATTCTTTCAAAATGCTACTCCTTCTACAGTTTTAGTCTGATTCAATATAACGTGGCACACAAGTAGACTACAATAAGATACATAATTCTGTATATCGGTTTTTGATTTCGATGAACGGTGTTGCCGTGGTTACTAAAAATAGAAATTTCTGTGAAATTCTTTCAAAATGCTACTCCTTCTACAGTTTTAGTCTGATTTCAATATAACTTGGCACACAAGTAGACTACAATAAGATACATAATTCTGTATATCGGTTTTTGATTTCGATGAATGATGTTGCCGTGGTTACTAAAAATAGAAATTTCTGTGTAATTCTTTCAAAATGCTACTCCAAATACAATTTTAGTCTGATTATAATATAAATGTGGCATGCAAGTAGACTGCACTAAGAACATAAAGAGACTTAATCAAGGATCATTATTCTATTTATTGCAGTTGAAAAGTTTCAATTTCCAACTGCTTAAGTACTTTTCTCTTCTTTGCTATAAGTACAAACCAGTAGAGCTTCAGTCTAGACAGAGACTTCTGGTTGATATGGTACATTGATGCTTCTATTAAGTATAATTGATAAAACACATTTTCGCAGGTACACACAGCTGCCGAAGGTGCCGGTGAATGACGTGACCTCCCCCCACCTGATCAGCTACCACCCTGAACGGGACATCCTCCCCATGGTCCTGGCCAACTGTCACTACACATTCCAGGTGGGCAAGGGAACCAAGATAGATTACAACTTTGTGGACCTGGAGCGCCAGCTGATGGACCGATTCCTGTTTTCCAAGTCGGTCATAGACATGCCTGTTTATGAGGTATTTATATATGCAGGGGATGCTGTAGTAAAGTTGAGAAACAGTTGATGATCTTGTAAATATTCCATGCATACAATTTTTAAGCTTTTTCAATTAAAATGTAATCAATATACAGTAAAACTTGTTTAGTACGAACATGCATATTATGAATTCATGGATAAAGCATTGTTATCTTGGATCCACAGCTAAATTAATTTAACAGATTCCTGATACAGATATAACGAATTACAGATATAGCAAAATTATTTTTCATAGGTCCAAGTGAATTTGTTATAACCAAGTTTTACTGTACATGTATCAATCTTGATCTTGTATCTTGCAGTTTGAGATGATGACATACAGATCAGAGACAACTAATGCTGTGGTGTTTAGACATCTTAGACAGAAAATCAAACAGGTTAATCAAAAACTATCATCTAATTTAAGGAATAATTACCTTCTAATTTAAAAACACTTATTACCTAATTTTCTTATAACTGAAAATTATAATTACAATCTATATATCTGTTTATAGATAAGAAATTCAATATTTAATGCTGAATGAAATTGTTTAAATTAATTTGATTTTTCCCCTTTCCTTAATATTGTCGATCTTAATTACTTTTGATTTTGTTCATAGGAACCTTTGACCCCAGCAGTAGCCAATCAGATCAGTGAGGAAATCAGAGCTTACCCTGACCTCTGTCAGACACTTGATAAACTTGACATTACCATCAGCTTCCTGAAATCTGTAGGGGGTGATGCTAACATGTCCTTGGAGAAATTCATGACCCAGACTCTTAAAATGGAAAATCCATTCCCCAGTCAAAAGGTGCATAACAATTCAGATGAATGTTATGTCAATGACTTTAGACTTGTGTCACCCTAAAAGGATGGGTTTCATGATTTCTTGTATACGACATTGAATTGTGAAGTTATTTGAAGGACATGTTTGTACGAGTTTGTTTACATTTGTTTTCTAGGCAAGGTCCTCCTGTATGTGTAAGCATACTCAATCTCTCTGGATCACTTTAGCAATGGAGAAAACCAAAAGACAAGCTTCACACAAAGAGGTAAATCAAATGACAACAGATCTTGATATTATTGTATTATTTCAGGGCTTTCAAATACATGTATTTCAGAAAGAAAAAAAATCACTGCATCATTTCCATTATGTGTTAAAATACAATGTATCAGTTATTTTCCCTTCTTTCCAGGATGCCTTTGAGGGTGTGTCGGGTGAGTTGAGGGTGGACCTCCTCCCTGACCAGCGTGACATCATCACCACGTTCTGTGAGGAACTCTCTGTAGAGAGACTAGAACTCCTGCTGGAGACCCTGTTTGAGTGTATCATGTTGACCATCACGGTCCCAAAAGGAACCGATGATGACGATTTAGACATGACCAAGCTCAGGTAATTGATGAAATGTTAAAAGTACAGAAATACTTGCCCATTTTTTTAAAAAAAATATATTGAAAATATTGATATTTTACTTAGCTTGAACAGTCAATTTTGTTTTCTTTTGAAATCTGAAAAAATGTTAAAAATATACTGTTATGAAGTCAATATTCTCCATACAAATTGGAAATAATAATAATTATCCAGTTTTATCTTTCTATCCTCAGCCTAAGAGACACAATGATTGGATATTTGTCAGCTCCTCAATATGACCTTGACCTGACCTACCCAAGATGGATGACTGACCTTGTGGGGAGAATCCTCAATGAGGGAGAAAACTTCACCAAAATCATGAACAATCAAGCGGTGGATGTGTGGCTGTTTTTATATGCCATCTACTCTCAGAAACGAATTGAAAGGAGATAAAATAAAATATGTGTATAGTGCTGAAAGACAATTTGGAAGTAGAAAAAGCTATACCCGCAAAAATGAAGCAAAAGGAGATAAAAATGCCTATGACAGAATGCTTAAAACAAAGTGAAAATACTGTAGAGGAAAAACAATTTTTTTGTTTTGTTTACACCTTGTGTCTTAAATAATGGTAATGTATTCGTGCAGAAAGGAAGATTAGTACATGTTTTCTTGAGTTTAAGACATTGTTTTTAAGATACCATGCATGTACAATTAGAGTTCTGCTAATATGCATATATTGATTCATTACATGAACAACCATATAAAAGGAAAGCTTTGTGATGATGTCAATGATTGAGGTTCTTTGTGATAAAAATACACATGTGCCAATGAATATTTGTACATATAGCTGCATTAGAATCATCAATGATACTTTGACAAGTTTTCCATGACAATTTTTGTACATTTATTGTATGTAAGTTTGGTACAATATTGCAAACATTTTGAACACAATTAAGTTCTAAAAAGTCTACAGGAAAACTTTCATATAATAAATAGTTTCACTGTTGGTTTTATACATACATTCATAACATGAATTCATAACAAACTTGTAGGTGTATATAATTAAGTTATAATGATCATGTTTGTATAACTGAATGCTTTCTGTAACAAGACTATATCATTAGCTTTTTTCCTTTATAATGCTTGTGATTTAAGTGATGGTCAATTCATGTGTGCAATAAACTATTTGTTTAGGTTTGGGTTTGACTTATTATTTCTATGACTTCATAAATCGATCGAAGTAGAAGTTTTTTCAGAAAATAATGGAGACAGTCCACAAAGCAGGGACATCCCATACCCCCAGAATCAGTTATTCATACATTGTAGATAAAAGAGATAGTACATTGTACATGAAACACTGATGCTTCAGCATGACAGCTATTGATGAAGATATATGTTTCTCAAGTGATGGTTTTCCACCAAGGTGAAGAGGTAAAAAATGTTATTGAATTTCAAGAAAAGGACTTGTAACAATAAATATACCCATGGTTCAAAAACTAACCATACCGTACAAAATTGATGACAAAGGTTATAGTTTTTTTCAATGTTGGTCAAACTCCAACGTTACAAGGGTCAAATTAAAGGTACCAAGATGATGATCTTTTCAGAGGAAAAGCATTTGAAAGGTGTTTCCAACCTCACAATTTTAATGGTTCGAAGTACAAGTACTGCTTTTATTTTCAATAAACACACTTTAAATTTTCCAATTTTTGCTAAAAATGTGTAGGTCACCATATTATTTAAGATGGGAAACATATTAAATAAATAGAAGTGTATATCAGGATAAAAAATCGCAAATTTTTTGTAAACAGTATTGTGAAAAATATGTAAAAACTCGTTAAATGCATAATTCTGATGCTGAATGTTCCTAAATACTTCCTACTTATAAGATATTTTTGGATTGTGAATATAAATAGTGAGAGCATGTTACTTAAAATCGAAATTCCTTTATAAAAAAAACTTTCAAAGCGGTACTTCTGTTACAGTGTAATTAGTTTGATTTCGTTATAATATTTTGGTAGACTACACAAAGATTCACGAGAATTACAAAAAATGCAAGCTTGTGACCTAAAGTCAGCGACGGAACGGAAATAGATAAGCTAAATCTGATACAACTGAATCAAATTTTGTATTCTTGAACTTCTGTATCATCAATTTAAAGTTTGATAAATATTTTGAATATTTTCTTTAATTAATTGAGCTACATGTAGCTAGCACGAGATGCGGAATAAGATGGAGGTGAAGGTCACAAGAGTGTTGTTCAAGGACAGACTTTTTTGATACAATTGAGAAGCTATACCTCCAGTATTCAAAGTTTAAACAACACGTTACATGTATAATACTGTATGTTCTTTAGTAGGAATGGCCATGATATATATACCTTGTACTGAAAAATCAACCCCAATTGCAATCTATAATTAAAAAAAATACAATATGAAAGAATACTCAAAGTAGTCAGAAAACCATTTGAACATATGTATCCAACAGTAGACTTATCTAATCATACTGTAAGTAACCCCGTAATGTTATCTCTGTATGGACAGAGTGGAAAGTAGTCTGGTTCCCGCCCCGCCACTTCGTTTCACTTCGTTTTGGGAGTGAAACGAAGTGGCGGGGGCGGGAAGGTTCAAATGAAACACTGTGTGATAATACAGATCTGAGTTGGACTAATCAACAATTTACAATATTGGGTATCACTTACACTGCAAATCTTAAAGAAATGGAACAACTGAACTTTGATAGCAAATTAGTTGGGATTCAAAAGAAATAACACAGTGGTCTAAAAGACATATTACCCCATTAGGCAAAATAACAGTTGTTAAAAGTGTTTTACTGTCCAAACTTACTCACCTGTTCAGTGTTTTGCCTACACCAAGTGTACAGTGGATTAAAAAACTAGAAAAATTACTTTTTAAATTTATTTGGGGCAATAAACCTGATAAAATTAGCCGAAAAACATTACAGTCAGATTTTTAAAAAGGTGGATGCAGAATGACTAATGTTGAAATTTTTATAAAATCTCTTAAACTTACTTGGTTTCGGAGAATATTTCTACTAACGCAACACAGTGGGCAGTGTTGTTTACAGAAATTACTGGTTGTAATATCACACAGATGTGTCAGTTTGGGTCGATCATTAGACAAAAAGTAAAGTTAATTTCCAATCCTTTTTGGAGAGAAACACTCATATTTTACAGATTTTATTAACATTTGTACATCTGCAATACAGGATAACACACTTTTGGAACCATTATGGTACAATGAAAGAATAAAAATACAAAACCAAACTGTTTTTTATAAATCTTTATATAGAAAAGGATTCCATATAGTTTCTGACTTGCTCATTAGCCAGTGTACTTTTATTCTTATGATAAATAAAAAGATTATTTCAATGTAAAAATGCCCTTTACCATATACGAAGGTCTTAAGCATGCTATTTTATGTGCAATGCCAGAAGTAAAAAATCTGGATCCTTCTTTAGTAACAAGACCAGTCCAGCTTGAGTTTATAACAATTTTGTGTAAAGATAAAAAAGGTTCTAGAAGAATAAATGATTTGTTTATATAACATTTTTGAATAAGTTTTCCTATTATATCAAAAATGTAATAAGTTTCGCTATAAACCCTGAAAAATGCCGAGTCACACCGGAAACAGTTATGTCAACCCTCGACGGAAACAGTTATGTCACTATTTCGATCACGTTCACGTGTTGTCACGTTGAGTATTTTAGCTCGGGTTCGAGATGTTATGACGTCGGTTGCTAAGCAAATGTAAACAAAGGAGCGTTATTCTTTAACGTCAAGAAAGCATTTCTGGATTATTTGTGAAAATTTCAACGATTTTAAATGATTTAATTTAATTTTTTAGTTTTAAAAATGTCATATAACATATACCACATGGCTTCTCGGGCCACTATACCAGAATATATGCCCCTCGTTGTTAGGAAAGCCCTTGACTGTTTTGTCACCCTCTGCCTTCGGCATCGGGTGACATAACACCCCAGGGCTTTCCTGTCCCCTCGGGACAAATATTCTGGTATGTCACCCTCGAAGTCATGTGATATATGTATAATATAACATTTTTGAATAAGTTTTCTTATTATATCACAAATGTAATAAGTTTCGCTATAAACCCTGAAAAATGCCGAGTCACACCGGAAACAGTTATGTCACACCGGAAACTGTTATGTCAAACCCCGACGGAAACAGTTATGTCATTCTTTCGATCACGTTCACGTGTTTTTACGTTACGCATTTTAGTTCGGGTTCGAGATGTTATGACGTCGGTTGCTAAGCAAAAGTAAACAACACAGCGCATTTCTTAACGTCGAAAAGGCATTTTTGGATTATATGTGTACATTTTAACGATTTTGAATGATTTTAAATCTTCTTTTGATTTTAAAAATGTCATATAACATATACCACATGGCTTCTCGGGCCACTATACCAGAATATTTGCCCCTCGGTGACTGTAAAGCCCTGGAGTGTATGTCACCCTCTGCCTTCGGCATCGGGTGACATAACACTCCAGGGCTTTCCTGTCACCTCGGGGCAAATATTCTGGTATGTCACCCTCGAAGCCATGTGATATATATATAATATAACATTTTTGAATAAGTTTTCTTATTATATCACAAATGTAATAAGTTTTGCTATAAACCCTGAAAAATGCCGAGTCACACCGGAAACAGTTATGTCACCCCCGACGGAAACAGTTATGTCATCCTTTCGATCACGTTCACGTGTTTTTACGTTGCGCATTTTAGTTCGGGTTCGAGATGTTATGACGTCGGTTGCTAAGCAAAAGTAAACAACACAGCGTAATTTTTAACGTCAAACAGACATTTTTGGATTATTTGTGTACATTTTAACGATTTTGAATGATTTTAGATTTTCTTTCAGTTTTAAAAATGTCATATAACATATACCACATGGCTTCTCGGGCGACTATACCAGTCAAGGGCTTTCCTAACAACGAGGGGCATATATTCTGGTATAGTCGCCTTCGGCATCGGGTGACATAACACTCCAGGGCTTTCCTGTCACCTCGGGGCAAATATTCTGGTATGTCACCCTCGAAGCCATGTGATATATGTATAATGTCCCAAGGACAACATAAACCTTTGTGTTAAAAGAAATGGACAAATGATTTATCACTACAAGATGACTTTAATTGGAATCAAGTTTATATTAATCTTAAAAATCTAACAAAAGATACAACATTGTTTTGGTTTCAATATAGAATTTTACATATATAGAATATTTGGTGTGAATAGATATTTGGTTTTTTTCTCAAAAATTATTCATGATCAAAAGTGTGCACTGTGCTCACAGGAACCTGAGACATTAAAACACTTATTTTTTGAATCTGATTTTGTCAAGAGAATCTGGTCATTCTTAGAAGATTGGATTGGTTTAAAATCTGGTAGAACATTGCAAATTAATATACAAAATGTAATCCTCTGTACTGCAGACATTGATGTGGGTTTGAATATTATTATTGTATTAGTAAAAAAATATATCTTTCAAACATCAAGAAAAAAGTGTACTATTTTATTTAATGATTTATTATTGTACTTGCGTAATTATTTTGTTATAGAAAAAAAAGTATATGATTTTGAACAATTTGAAAAAAGAATGTCTAATTGGAAATGTCTTTTTCAAAGTAATGACTAAGCATTGGAGTTTTATACTATTGTTATATTGACTGATATTTATTTAATGACTAAGCATTGGAGTTTTATACTATTGTTATATTGACTGATATTTATTTCACCCCCTTCCACATGTAATATTGTAGGTGTGAGTCTCACTCTGTATGTAAGTGTGTGTATGTCTGTATGTGAGTGTGTCATTAACTATATTTAAATGTTTGCTTCCGAACATATATGTAATGTGTTGTTTCTGTAAATAAATAAATTTTTTAATAAACGGATCGCTGTGTTAATTATGAAATAAATTTGTCTTGTGTTAGATGTATTACAGTTAAATTTAAAGTCAATAATATACCAAATAAAAATTTTACAATTTTGAAAGACAGTTTTGGAGAACGGGC